ACAGAGAAACCCTGTTTCGAAAAACAAAACAAAAGGTGTATGCCACTATGCCAGACCTAAGCACAGTTTTTTGAGACATGGTCATTTATAGACCAGGCTAGTCTCCAACCAGCTTTGTAACTTAGGCTCCCCTTCAACTCCTGATCCTCCTCCCTGCACTTCCCAAATGTTGGGATTTTAAAGAAACTTGAAGAAGTTGTAGTGATCTAGTTGAAGTCTCAGGCTAGGTGGTAGGCCATTAAAAACAAAACAAAACAAAACAAAACAAAACAAAAAACCATTAAGTTTATGTTGTCTCCAATTTGCTTGTGAACAACTGGGCAGGCCTCAGCTATCCTCACAATGTGGGTTCTGAAGATTTAATTTAACTCAACTGCTCCACTCCATAGCAATCATCTTTACCTGCTGAGCCATCTCATTGGCCCCCTCAGAAGGCCATGTTTAAGAGGAAACTGAAGTTGAGAGTCAAACAAGAAAAGCACTGTGGGGTGGACAGAGGGCTCAGCAGTCAAGATGCAGACTTTTCTTGCAGGGCGCCTGAGTTTGCTTCCTGTAACTCCAGCTCTAGATCTGACATCATCGGCATGTGTGATCCTGCACTCACTTCTCTCTCTCTCTCTCTCTCTCTCTCTCTCTCTCTCTCTCTCTCTCTCACACACACACACACACACACACACACACACACACAACTTCACTTAAAATATATGTATACATATATTTATTTACTTGTTCTCAGGAGGCAGAGGCAGAGAGATCTCTGTGAGTTCCAGGCCAGCCTGCTCTACAAAAAGAGTTACAGGACAGCTAGGGCTGTCAGGTTCAGAAACCCTGAATCAAAAAAACAAAAACAAAGTGCAGGAGGCAGAGGCAGGTGGATCTTTGAGTTCGAGGCCAGCCTGGTCTACAGAGCAAGTTCCAGGACAACCTCCAAAGCTACACAGAGAAACCCTGTCTCAAAAAACAAAAAACAAAAACCAAAAAATTTCTGTATACAAGTGTTTTTTTTATGCATGTATGTGCAACACACATGTGTCTGGTAGGTCAGACAAGGTCATTTAATAACTGAAGTTACAGATGGCTGCTATGAGCTGCTATGTGGGTGTTAGGAGTTGAATCCTGGTTGTTGGAAGAACAGCCATGGCTATTAACTGTTGCGCCATCAATTCAGGTCCCACAGTTAAATTTTTGTTTTTTGAGAAACGGTTTCATTCTCTCTCTCTCTCTCTCTCTCTCTCTCTCTCTCTCTCTCTCTCTATCTCTCTCTCTCTCTCTTTCCCGAGACAGGGTTTCTCTGTAGCTTTGGAGCCTGTCCTGGAACTCACTCTGTAGATCAGGCTGGGCTCGAATTCTCAGAGTGCTGGGTTAAAACTCATAGAGATCCATCTGTCTCTGCCTCCCGAGTGCTGGGATCCATCACCCCCACTTCTTTTTGGTTTTTCGAGACAGATTTTTTACTCACAGATATCCACCTGTCTCTGCCTCCTGAGTGCTGGGATTAAAGGTTGTGCCACCACAGCCAAAATTTGGGTGTGAGATTCTCACACAGACAAGGCTAACATCACACTCTATATGCTACTCAAGAGAAATGACCTTAAATATTTTTTTCTTCTGCCTTTACCTTCTGCATACTGGGGTTGCTGGTATGGACCCTCATGCCCCATTATATTCAGTGCTAGGATGGAATCTAGTGCTTCCTGCATACCAAGCAAGCACTTTACAAACTGAGCTACTTCTCCAACTCTGTTTTGTTCTTTTGTCTTAAGACAGGGCCTTACTCCTAGCATAATATCTAGCCAAATGGATCAGTCATCTTCAGTTTGAAAATACACAGGGGCAGACACTGATGAAAATACACAGGGAACAGGTAGTAGGGGACAAATGAGCTCTTTCAGGGAGAAGTGAACAGTGTCAATCAACACCAGCTCAATGATCCCTGTCCTGATGCCCATGGCATAGGCTCTTCAGGGTCTTCCTTAGTTACCTCCCTTACAGGTGTGAACTTAGGGTCTCTAGCCATGTGGTCAGCCAGGTATCTGGGTCCTTCCTACTTCACTTGTAGCCTTTAGACCCTCTATAGACCTGCACAGCCTTCCTTTCTCCCACTCAGGGTCTCTAGGTTCTCAGGGTTCTTCAAAGAACCAAGCTGGGCCCAAAACAAGGCCTCCCTGCCCTGGTATCCAACTGGTGCCTCCGTCAGCTTTCTTTTTCATTGCCCTGTCTCTTCCAATCTTTTTTTTTTTGGGGGGGGGGGGGTTTCAAGACAGGGTTTCTCTGTGTAGCTTTGGAGCCTATCCTGGCACTCGCTCTGGAGACCAGGCTGGCCTCGAACTCTTCCAATCTATTTTTAAAAATTATTTCCTAAAATTTCCTATGGCTTCTTCGATTTAAGATTTATGGGAGCAAGGTTGTGAGAAGATTGTAGCTTGTTGCCAGACTGGGCAGACCTGACACTTGTTTCCAGACCTTAGAGAAATGATTGCTGTGGGTTTGTGGGGCGCATACTGGGGTGTCCTAAGTGGAGTGGGGTAGGGAGAGGAATCAGGGATATGGTTCAGTGAACAAAAGTGTTTCCAAGCCTAATGACCTGAGCCAGATTTCTAGGACTCTGACCTTCACAGGCATGCCCTCCCCACCTCCCCTAAATGTGTGTGGGGAGGGGAGCCAGCTGGATTCCAGGCCTGCAGGGTTAAAAAAAGAAATATCCTGTTTTCTATGACACAAGGTCTTACAAGGCAAATGTGGCCCAAACAGGTCTGCCCAGATCACATGTTGTGGAATAGTCAAGAAAAATGGTGGGAATAGGGTAGTCGAGAATGAGGGCCCAGGAGACTACCTGGCAGGGGCCTTTTCACAGATCTGGCTGAAAGTGCCCCAGGCAGTGTTTCAGAGGAAGTTAATGGTTTCTAGGAGCTTCGTGGGGGATGGGCACAATCTTTTGGTAGATTCAGTTTCAGTTTGTGAAATGAAAAGTTTGGGGGGCTTTTGTTGAGACTGCACAGTTAAAAGTGGTTAAGATGGTGGTTGGCTTGGCAGTGGTGGCACACGCCTTTAATCCCAGCACTCAGGAGGCAGAGGCAGGCAGGTCTCTGTGAATTCCAGGCCAGATTGGTCTACAAAGGAAGTTCCAAGATGGCCAAGGACTGTTACACAGAGAAACCCTGTCTTAAAAAACCCTGTTTTAAAAAAAAAAAAAGTAATTCTTTTTTTTTTTTTTTTTTTTTTTTTTAAAGCTGGATGTGGTGGCACAGGCATTAAGCACTTGGGAGGCAGAGGAAGGTGATCTCTGAGTTTGAGGCCAGCCTGGTCTACAGAATGAGTTCCAGGACAGCCAAAATAAACTCTGGATTAAGTTACTTTTTAGCATGCTAGGTATCAGACACAGGGTTTTGCACATTCTAGACAAATGATCCACCACCAAGTTATAACCCTAATTTCTTCAATAGTGCACTTTATATTTTGTTTGGCTTTTACATTTTAATTTCATTTATATGGATTTACTGTATAAGTGTTTTGCCTGCAGCACCACATGCCTGATGCCACAGGGGTCAGAAGGAAGCATTGGATGCCCTGGATCTGGAGTTCCAGGCAACTGTGAGCAGCCATGTGGAATTGAACCCAGGTCCTCTGGAAGAGCAGCCTGTGCTCTTAGCTGCTGAGTCATCTCTCCAGCTTCTTTGTTTTTTTTTGTTTTGTTTTGTTTTTTGTTTTTTGTTTTTTTGGATAGGGGTGTGGTACAGTGTCTCTCTCTATAGTCCTGGCTGTCCAGTAACTCTGGATGTAAACCAACCAGGCTGGCCTTGAACTCACTGAGATTCACCTGCCTCTGCTTCCTAAGATCTGGGATTAAAGCCATAAGCCATTATACCCAGTGGGTTTTTTATACTTTTTTGTGTGTTTATGTGTGTAGGCCTGAGAATCCCATGGCATATGTGTGGAGGTCAAAGGACAACTTGAAAGAGTTCTCTCCTTCCACAATGTGGGTTTTAGGGGACTGAATTCAAATCTTCAGAACTGGCTACAGTGCCTTCACACACTGCACCATCAGCCCCAGCCTCTTTTCCTTTCTTTCTTTCTTTCTTTCTTTCTTTCTTTCTTTCTTTCTTTCTTTCTTTCTTTCTTTCTTTCTTTCTTTGAGACAGGGTTTTTCTGTGTAGCTTTGGAGCCTATCCTGGCACTAGCTCTGTAGACCAGGCTGGCTTCGAACTCACAGAGATCCACCTGCCTCTGCCTCCTGAGTGCTGGGATTAAAGGCGTGCGCCACCAATGCCCGGCTAGCCCCAGCCTTTTAAAGAATATTTTGTGGGGCCTGTAAGATGGCTCAGCCTGTAAAGACACTTGCTGCCAAGCCTAAAGTCCTGAGTGTGATCGTTGGAACCTACGTGGTGGAAGGAGAGAACTCACTTCCACAAGTTGTCTTCTGACCTCCAAACATACACCATGGTATGTTCCCAAGAACACACAAATATAAAAATAAAAATGATTGTGAAAGGTGTTGTTCCAGGCTGCTAAAGGAGTAAAGAAAAAAGGCACTACTCTCTAGAGCGGGAGATTAAGTCCAGCAAGGTGAGCAGTCCCCAGTGTCGTCCCCCCCCCCCCACTCCATTAGCTGCAGAGCCAGTCTGAGACCATTCCTCCTAGGTCATGGAGACAGAGAAAAGACAATGGCCCTTGGCCTATGGGGACTCGGTGGATTTCCTCTCCACTCTGCAATCTCAGCTCTTGAGTGATGAATGAGTGTGTGGCTGTACACTGTCTTTCCGTGGAGTTTGTATAACCTTTGAGGGATCTCCTAGCTGCCCCTCCCTTTCTTCCCATTTTCAGATAGCAGCCTTCAAGTCCAAGTTAACCTCCTCCATGTGGAACAGAGATGACTCAATATTTTTGCCTCAGGGGGGCTTCAGTCATTTCTGGTCGCACTAGGGAAGGCAGAGTTCTTTCTCTGACAACACTGCTGGATCTGAGGGGAGAAGGCTGAGGACCATCTTTCATGTTCACTGGCCTGGAGAACCCTGGGAAGCCCATGGGAGGGGGTGTGTATGACTCTTGACATTAACCAGTCTCCTTTGAGTCTCCATAGGTCCTTCTGTAAAGTTTGGCATGAAATACTTTCCCATGGGACATTCTTACAAAGCATCATGGGAGCATCAGCAATTACTAGAGTGTAGAGTGGGGCTCCCAGCTAAGCAACACTGACTCCACCTGAGAATACAGACTCCCAGCCCAGGGACTTCTCTCAGCTATGCCTCTCTGAGTTCTCTTTAGCCGGATCAGCCTGCCTGAGTAAGGATCACCCTGGGGTAAGGATGTATCTTTCCTTTCAGGAAATGACTTCTGCCATCATTCTACGGGCAAACAGTAGTGCAGAGGAGGCATGCCCTTGCTCCCTTGGCCATGCTTTAACTTCCAAAGTATTCTCTTTTTCTATGAACATTTTAATGAGAGTTGAACATAAAATAGAAAAATAGCATTCTGATTGCTTTTTCTTTTTAAGATGCAACTTTTCTTGAGACTTTCATACAAGGCAATGGATGGATAATGTTAACCTGCTAAAGAAAACATAGTGACCACAGAAAAAGGCATTTCTAGTACCTATCATGGTTATTCATGTCTTTAAAATTACCTATCAAACTCTCAGGGCTGGCTGGTTTAGTTTTCTTTTGGAAACAACTCAGCTTTAAGTCCTGCCTTTGTTGGACACTAGAAGGATATCTGAGGACTGTTACCAGTTTCAGGTGATTTGGCCTAGAGCCAGTGTTGCTTAAGGTGGCTGGTGAGGAGGGGTGATGTGTGAAGGTACACGTGCTTGCTTCTCTTTCCAAGGGGTGTGGGCAGCCAGAGGCTACCACCCTACAATGGAGTCCTGCTTATTCTCTGTGGACAGGCAAATCATCCAGCAGATGGGCTGGGACCAGGCCCCTGTGTCCACCATACTCACCGTAGTAGAATCCCTTATCATCCACAGGCCCATAAACTGTGACCACATCTCCAGCCCTCAGCACAAGCTTGCCCTTTGCCCGGACCCCCACTCTCCCATCTCTGGGGTCATAGTCCAGAGCTGCCACCATTGTCTTTGGGGTCCACAGTGTGGGTGTTCTGGAGTTCCCTTGAGACATCAAAGATCCCTGGGAGTTGGTTAGGCCCTCCAAGTCTTCATGTTGAGCCTCAGAATGTAGATGTCCTTGTGCTGGCAAAGGCTGCCTCTTGTCTGTCTGATCTGTGCCCACCTCCACCTCAACTACCAGGTGCCCAGGGATTTTGCCCACTCGTCCATTGCACTCTCCATGGTAGAAGCCATGGGGATCCTGTGACCCCCACACTCTCAGCAACTGTCCTTTCTGGAATACCAGCTCCTCCTCTGGAGACTTGGCATTGACAGGCATCACCAGGGGGCTATGATCAAAGAGGGCCACAAAGAGCCTGACTGGATTGTTAGCTTCTGTCTCTGGCTTCTCAGGGACACCACTTGCCATCTTAATGACTTTGCTGGTTGGCACTGGGCACAGCACTGAGGTAGGCTTGTGAAACTGGCACTCTCTCTTGCCTCCTGGAGTCTCCTGTGTTTGTCCACTTTGGAACTTGTTCTTTCTTTGCCCTAGTTTCTCTGTGCACCGAGAATCCAAACACACAGCCGCCTTCTCCTCCCGAACATGATGGAAGTCAGCTGTCGGGAGCTGGCTGGAGCCTTGCTGGTGAGGTGGGAGTGTCTGGTCATATTGCTTTTGAAGGGCTTTCTCAAGGCCAGGCTTCTCCCAACGCAGTACTTTCCTGGGCCCAATCTCTGGGGAGAGATGGATGAATCCTGGAGCAGGACATCCATTGATGCACATGTGTGGGGAGTGGCCTTCTTCAACCCCAGATTGGCCAAAAGGCAGAGGTGGCTTGAGGTTCTGGGGACTCTCCTGAAGAGACAGGCCCTTTTCATAGTCCTTCCAGGTCTCTGCGGGCCCCTGGACTTGGTTGTCTGCCCTTTCTGAGATCAGGTTGGATATTGGTGAATGTTTCCTTGTAGGATCTTTGGGGAATGCTTCTACAAACTTAACCTGAGGCTCCCCACAGCTTCCAGGGGTATGGGGGCTAGTCTTGGTACTCAGAGAAATAACTCTGCAGGTCAAAGGGTCACCATCCATGTAGCTAAAGGGAAAAGTGTCTAGGAATGGGTAACAAGAAAAACAGTCCTCGGGGATCTGAGCTGGCACAGAATCCAGAGACTCCCCATAGAGTGACATGGTTCTCACTGACACCTTCTGACATGCTAGGGGAACCCGAAGCTGGGAAAATTCCAGCAGGGTGTTTCCAGCGGTGGCATCAGCAACTTCTGTCACCTTGAACCCGTCCACATACACAGCGTAGCCAGTGACCTGCACTCCATTGGAGGACCCTGCTGAGTCAATGGTCACAGGAAGCCAGCTGACCACCAAGAGACCTGGAGAAGCATGGTGCTCCACCAGCACATCCAGAGGAGGGTCAGGGGGGCCCGCTAAAGGTGTATCAAAAGTTACAGTGGAGGACATTGTTTCCCAGAGCACCTGGAGCAGGTCCCTGGGTAGCTGTACCCCCACCCTCACCCGGTACCGTGTGCCAGGATGTAGTCCTTGGAAGGTGTAGCAGCTCACCCCTGAGGGAGTTAGGGTATGCTCTTCATCCTCCAGGTACACCACATGGGGGTATCTGTTGCTGCCAGAGGCCCATGTAATCGTGGCAGAGGTAGCTGTGACATTCTGCAGCTGTAGTTGCATGGGGGCCAGACAGAACACGCCTTTTGCCTCCAGAAGGGGTCTGGAGACACTTTGCTCCTCCATGCTTGGTTTCAAGCCCAGCCAGCAAGCTTCTGTCTTAGTTTCCAAGATCTCTATTGCCACATCTGTCTTAGAGTCTGTCCTTCTCACCTGACAAAGGCCTGTCTCCAGAGATCCCTTAAATTCCCCAAGTGATAAGCTGCCTTTCTTCAAGGCTTTGGTCTGCTCAGGTGGTAGTGCTGTGGGACAAATGTCAGGGGACTTGGGGAGCAGGTGGTTCAGGATAGGGCTTCCTGAAATCTGTTCCACTAAGTTGGAGGGCACTAGCCCTCGCTGCCCGTTCACAAGCTCCCCTTCATAGAAGCCATCCTCATCCATGTCCCCAAAGACATATACATAATCCCCTGCTGTGAGGGGTAACTGGCCTTGAGAATGTTCCTTAGACCCTTCAAATGGATTGTAGCTGCATCTAGCCAAGAAGATCCTGAGCTTGGGAGTGGTGGGAGCCTCAGAGCTCCTCATTTCCAGGGGAGAGGACACACTGTCTGGCTCTAAATCATCCACTTCACTTGCTGTGTCCATGTCCAGAGAAAGGCAAGATGGCACTGTAGCCCACATGGATTCTACCTCGGAGGAGGAATTTGACTGGGAACTGGTTTTCTTGGCTTGGGGCTTGGAGTCCAGAGGCTGACTGATAGAATTTTTTTCTGACACTTGGGGGATACCAGCTGGTTCCCCAAGGGTAACTGAGTTCTCCTGCTGGGAGAGACAAACGGGAGGTTCTATGTCCCTGGTAGGCAGTGACAATGCATGTTCTTCAGACTTTGGCTTGAACTTGGGCCTCCTGCTATCCCTGGCTTGGGACTCTGAAGCTTGGGTGGTCTCTGATGTCTCCAGGGGGTGGCCAGGCTGACACTGCAACCCCTGTATTTCTTTCCCGGAAGCCAGGAGGTCACTCGGGGCTTTATTTTGGTAGTACTGCAGCTGCTGCCACCCATCTTGCACATATCCCGCTTGTTGCAGCAGCTGCTCAGCCAGCAGACTTGTGGCTTCGAGTTCCTGCCTCTGCCTCGCGTGGTTTTGCTGCCGGGGAACATTGCTGTTTTCATCTGCCATCTTCTTCACCCAGCTGGCCAGGGCCTGCAGCCGCGCATTCTCCTCTGACAGCCTGGCGCCCTTGTGCAGCGCAGCCTGTAGTTGTGCCTCTGCCTCCTCGTAGCGCCGCTCTGCGGCGGCTGCCTGAGCGCTCAGTTCCTCGCATTCCCGCCGCTGTGCACCCAGCTTCTCCTCCAGGGCCTGCACCTCGTATCGCGCTATCTCAGACGGTGAGCTTAGGCTGCCTGCTTCTGCCCGGGCTCCGGCTTTACTCTGATGTAGAGTCAACTGTCTTTGCAGGCGCAGCACTTCCCGCTGAGACTCACGCTGCAGCCGGTCCAAGTCACTGATGTTGCACCATTGCGCGCAGGTGGCGCCCTCTCCAGGAAGCGAGGAGCTGCCGAGGTCCGCAGCGATGTGCGCTTGCAGCAGGTGGCACTCCCGCCTCAGTGCTTCGATCTGCAGGTCCTTGGCTTGCAGCGCATCAGCCTGTTCTGAAGGGTCCTGAGTTCGCTGATGGGCAAACACCTGGCCCAGGTCTAGGCTCTCGAGGCTCTCACCCGGCACAGGAGCGCTCACTGCCTGAAGGTTGGTCTCCTGCAGTTTGCGGGCCCTGTCTTCAAGGCGCTGAGCGAGATCGGTCAGCTCTGCGTGCTTCACTTTGAGCCACTTCACTTTCTCATCGGTCTCATTGGAGAAGCCGGTGCATCGCAGCTGCAAGTTCTCTTCGCGCAGGTCACAGCAGCGGCGAACCAGCACCTGCAATGCCTCGGCCAGCTCCGAGTTCTGCTTCACCAGTTCGTGGTAGTCCTGACCTGGTGGTGAGAGGGTCGGGGCTTCGCAGGGCTTGTTTTCAGAGCTTTCTCCCTTCAGGTCACTAGGTTTTTTATGTTTTGATGGTAGCTGAGGCGGCGGCGGAGGACTGGAGGTACCTGGGCGGGAGGCGCTGGTCGAAGAGGCCCCTAGCTCTGATTCGGGAGCCCGGGGACAACTCCGTGTGCTGTCGAGTGAGCAGGGATGTGCTGTTGCCAAGGATTCGAGGGAGCTGGCGCGCGTGGGCAGCAGGTCGTCTGGAGAGCTAACTCGTGCGCCAGTGCGCAGGCTTTCGAGAGATCCGAGTCGACGAGCAGGCTTTTGGGTGCCACCAGTGTTACTCTGGGCTCCTATGGGTGGCTCGTCCAAGGAATGAACAACTTGGGGGTCCGCGGGTTCAGATAAAGCGGGCTGCCAGCGGAAGTGCTCTAGGATGTATTTAAGAAAGAGCTGGCGTTCCGAGTCTAGTGCCGCCTGGAGGTGGCGGATGCGCGCGGCTTGTTCGCCGTCGGTCTCCCAGCGCAGCAATGCCAGCACTTCCTGCAGGCGACAGCGGCATTGAGCCGCGGAGGCTTCGGACGCCCCCGAGCGGCCGCAGTAACCTCGGTTCACTAGCTCCTGGGCCAGCTGGCGCTGAAGCTCCCGAGCCTGGCGCACTACAACGTCGCGTTCCTGGTGCAGCAGCTGCTGCAGCTGCCGAAGCTCTGCCTCCTTCCAGCGCAGCAGCTGCCGGATCTCGGCCTCACGCTCGCGCTGCACCTCCTCCTGCAGCTGCCGCAGCTCCCGGAGGCGTCTTGCCTCCCACTTGGAGCGCAGATGGTCAGCCAGCTGCTGCCGCTCCTGCTCGGCAGACTCCCGCAGCTGGCGCGCCTGGGCTCCGAAACGCCGCCGTTCCGCCCGGCCGCGCGCGCGCTCGGCCTCCAGCTCTGCCCGCAGTTTCTCTAGCTCTCGCCTCTGCTCTTCCAGCACTGCTGCAGCTGGGCCGGGGCTGCTTGGCTTCTTGGGCGACGCGCGGCCACCACCCAAGGGGGTGGGTGAATCCTTTGTCATTGTGGCCGCAGCCGGGCAAGAAGCCAGAGCTAGCCTGGTAGGCCAGTTAGCCAACGGCCGCCGCCCCGGCCGCTACCAACCGACCCGCGCGCCCCTTCCGGCTCCCCTTGGGGCTTTCCGCGCGCCCCTTCCGCCTCGGGAGTGGTCTCTCTTATAACCTGCCGCGTCTTCCCAGACGGAGCGCCCTAGGAAGGGCGCGACTCCTGAGGCCCCTTTCAAACTGGCCTCTGAACTTCCCGGGATACCGTGGCAAATTTCTGAGCTCACAATTCATCTGCTCCATGACTTTTGCGACCCATTCTACTCTCTCCCGAACACTTACTGTGCAATCAATCCCTTCCAGACCCAGATACCCCGTGGGTACCCTGAACTGTCGCTGTTCCTGGGCCTGAAGAAAGGGGACACAGGTGTGGGTAAAAATGGGTTGTGGTCAGATCTCAACTGGCTTTACTAGGGTTTCTGGTACCGTGTTTGAATTAGGTAACTGAGACTTACTATAAGATCTGCTTAAATTTGTGGTTGAGCCCTGAGCCCCTGTGGTTGCGTCATCTGCTACTTTTCCTAGAATCCCTGCTTGCTAAGCGTTTTCCTACATCAACTAAAACTTTCTGTTTGTTCGTTTTTCGAGACAGGGTTTCTTTGTGTAGCCCTGGCTGTCCTGGAACTCTCTCTGTTGACCAGGCTGGCCTCAAAATCACAGAGATCCACCTGCCTCTGCCTCCGGAGTGCTGGGATTAAAAGCATGCGCCACTACCACCTGACACCCTTGGCTTCTTGATTCATCTTTACCTTCATCCAGCAAGGATGCTAAGAGATGCAGAACTTTCCATGGCTATACAGCTTGGAAGTAGCTAAGTGGGGATTCAAACATGCAAAATTCTACCTCCAAAGTCCATGAGTATTCTCTAATTGCTCCATTTCAGGGTCACTTGTGAGGACTCACTCCCCAGTGTTTCAGCCAGGCTGTTTACAATTCTGTCTTTGCCTCACTGCTGTTTGCCCCGAATCCCCCCAAACCTTTTGTATTTTTTCGAGACAGGGTTTCTCTGTGGCTTTGGAGACTGTCCTGGAACTAGCTCTTGTAGACCAGGCTGGTCTCGAACTCACAGAGCTCTGCCTGTCTCTGCCTCCCGAGTGCTGGGATTAAAGGCATGGGCCTTTAATGCCCAAATGTTTGCACTGATTTTTTTTTTAATACTTATTTATTATAGTGTTCTGTCTGCATGTATCCCTGCAGGCCAGAAGAGGGCACCAGATCTCATTACAGATGGTTGTGAGCTACCATGTGGTTGTTGGGAATTGAACTCAGGACCTGTGGAAGCCAGCTAGTGTTCTTATCCACTGAGCCATCTCTCCAGTCCCTGCACTGAATTTTAAAAGCTTTTTGAAAATGATTTATTTTTATTTTATGTGCAGTGGTGTTTTGCCTACATGTCTGTGTGAGGGTGCTGAATACTCTGGAACTGGAGTTACAGACAGTTGTGTGCAGACATGTGGGTTTTGGGAATTGAACCCAGGTCCTCTGGAAGAGCAGCCAGCACTCTTAACCCCTGTGCCATCTCTCCAGCCCCTGCACTGAATTTTTAGATTAACAAGTGCAGTGGTGGAAGCTCAAGGCCTTACTTCTTTTTTCAGCCTGTGTCCTGTCTTGGGCATATACCTGACAACTTTTTGTTTGTTTGTTTGTTTTTGTTTATCAAGAGAGGGTTTTCTGTAGCTTTGGAGGCTGTCCTGGAACTCACTCTATAGACCAGGCTGGCCTGGAACTCACAGAGATCCACCTGCCTCTGCCTCCCGAGTGCTGAGATTAAAGGCTTGCACCACCACCACCTGGCCACACCTGAGAACTTTTATTTGTTCCTATGTTATTATTTTGTTTTTATTTGTTTTGAAACAGGGTCTCTCTCCATAGCCCTGGCTATCTTGGAACTTGCTTTTAAAATTCAGACTGGCCTCATAAGGCCATGTAGACCAACTCATAAGATCTGTTTGCCTCTGCTCCTGAGTGCTGGGATTGCAGGAGTTGACACCATGTCTTATATCTGAGCCTTTTTGAATCAGCAAGGTAGCAATGACTGAGGCTTGATTGCACCCAGAACCTCAAACATGCTAGACAAACGTTATACCGCTAAGATGCATATACTCAGCCTCTGTGTGTGATTATATGTGTGTATGTGAGTGTCTGTGTGTGTGTATGTGTGAGTGTGTGTGTGTGTAGTACTACAGACTGAGCACAGGGCTTCATGAATGCTAAGCAAACACTTTAATATTGAGCTCTAACTTCATTCCCCAGCACTTTTAAAAATTTCAATGTTGGGCTGGAGAGATGGCTCAGAGGTTAAGAGCACTGACTGCTCTTCCAGAGGTCCTGAGTTCAATTCCCAGCAACCACATGGTGGCTCACAACCATCTGTTACGAGATCTGGTGCCCTCTTCTGGTGTGCAGATATACATGGAAGCAGAATGATGTATTCATAATAAATAAAATCTTTAAAAAATTTTTGATGTTAAGCTGGGCAGTGGTGGCTCACGCCTTTAATCCCAGCACTCGGGAGGCAGAGGCAGGTGGATCTCTGTGAGCTCTGGTCTACAAGAGCTAGTTCCAGGACAGCCTCCAAAGCCACAGAGAAACCCTGTCTCAAAAAAAACAAACAAAACCCTCCCAAAAAAACCAGAAAAACAAACCCCCCACAAAATTAACATGTGTTATTATTTTATTCATTTACGTGTATGTGCCTGCCTGAGTTTACCCACACCGCATGTATACATGCATGCCTGATGTTCTTTGAGATCAGAAGAGAGCATCAGATGCCCTGGAATTGGAACGACAAGTAGCTTTTAGTCACCATGTGGGTGCTGGGAGCAGAACCCATATTTTCTGCAGGAGCAGTAAGCATTCATAATTCCTCATCACTCCAGCTCCCTACCATTTTTTAAAACATAGTCTTACTCTGTATCTCTGGCTGGCCTGAAACTTACTTTGTCCAGCAGTCTGGATTAGAACTCACAAAGATCTTCTTGCTTCTTTCTGCCTTTCAAGTGCTGGAATAAAGGTCTGCACCACCATGTGTGGATGTCCTTTTTAAGTTTTTGTTTTTGTTGATGGCAGCAGTGGCATTTTTGTTTTGTTTTGTGTTTGTTTTTGTTTTGGAGACAGGGTCTTGCTATGTCGTGGCTAGGCTGGAAGTTGCAATGTAGACCAGGCTGGCCTCAAACTCAGAGATCAGCCTGCCTCTGCCTCCCAAGTGCTGAGATTAAAGGTGTGTTCATGCATAATAATGAGCTCCTTTTTTTTAAGTTTTTGAGATGGGGGTTTCTCTGTGTCACCCTGGCTGTCCTAGAACTCGCTCTGTAGATTAGGCTGGCCTTGAACTCAGAGATTTGCGTGCCTTCGCCTCCTGAGTTCTGGGACTAAAGGCTTGTGCCACTACCTCCCAGCTCCTTTTAAAATCTTATTTGGAGCCAGGATCTTGTTAAATTGCCAGGCTGGTCTTGTACTTGTTATCTTTCTGCCTCATTCTACCTACCAAGTAGCTGACACTATAGGTGTGTGCCACCACACCTGACTCAAACCCTGTTTTTGTCCTGTCACTGGCTGCTCACTTTTTTCTGTCCTTTGATATTAATTTGGTAGTTTCCTACTCCAAGAAGCCTTTCTGGACTCTCTTGGCTGGGCTTGGAGTTCTCAAGATACTACAGCCCCTTTGGTGATCCTGGTCACTCTACTTGCTGTTGCTTCTCCTTTGAGGAATGGGTATGTCTAATATACCTTTGTGTCTCTGACCAGAGTGGATCCAGAGAAGGTAAAATGGAATGCCTTTCCTATGCAAGTTGGGATAAAGACCTAGGACCAAGCAGGCAGGAAGGACAGAGAGGGTGCTACCCAACGTGGTCTCCTGGCCTGCTTAGCACCAACACTCGGACACCACCTGTGAGCAAGGCCTGGAGCCTCAGGGTGTGTACTGGCCATTGGGGTGTTAGGCAGAGGCATCAAGCTGGACATGGAGTGAAGGCCAGTCTTCAGCAGGTTGTTGGTAAGGTCCATTCCTCAAAGAGAGGAAGCAGACTCTCCTCTTTCCCCCCGAAGAAAAACAAGACAAAGAAAAAAAAAATCACGAATATAGCTTTCTTTTGTGGCTCATGAACTCTCTTTGAATCTGGTTCCTTCCTGTCCTTTCAGCATTAAGTGGCTTACAAGAAACACACTGATAACTGGCTTTCTGTATTCATACATTCTATCAGAAGCTCCTTTGGGGTGCCTGCCTAGCCTAGGAAACATTGGCACTTACAATTAACCCTGTTCGCAGTACCTGACCTTCTGACTTTTATTCTTATGTTCCAAACCAGATTCACCTGAGCCTATAGAAAACACCTTTGTGAAACAAGAACATGAGAATTACGGTTTAAAATAATCATTTCAGAACTGAAGCAGATGTGGTGTGAGGGTGGCAAGTGAGAAAGTAGGATTATGGTCTTAGCTTTGATTTTGTCTTGGGTTAGAAGAAGGGTTGTCTTTTTTTTTTTTTTTTTTTTTTGGTTTTTCAAAATAGGGTTTTTCTTTGTTGCTTTGGAGCCTGTCCTGTGACTCACTCTGTAGACCAAGCTGGCCTTGAACTAACAGAGATCCACCTGCCTCTGCCTCCCAAGTGCTGGGATTAAAGGTAGGAACCATCACCACCTGGCAAGAAGGGTTGTCTTTATGGAGTCCTTACACAGCACTGCTTTACAGAGAGGATTCATGGGTGTCGGTGGCTTTCTAGGGTCACTGGCAACTAGGGTTTAATAGGTTGTTATTTCATGGTGGTGGGGGTGATTTCACAGCTTGTGTGACTTGCTGCAGCCTTAAGTGGGACCTCAAGCAGTGAAGTGTGGATGCACGGATCAAGATTCATGGGACTAGGTTCAATATAGGTTAAATATAAGTTTATTTGGGGAGAATTCTCTTATGCATGAAATAAATGACTGCCAGGGTTCCCACTCCAAGGATCCACCCAGGCTGCTCTCCATGACTTGACCGGAAGCAACAGAGAGACCACCTGTACCCGGATCCCAGGCCTAAACTCACTCTCTGTCACATCCACACCTGTGACCATGCCCAAACAGGCGAATAT